AACTTAAATTTTGTATGTATGCAGGAAGATTACCAAGTAGCAGAATAAAAATAGTTATTCGGATCGGTGCAGTGAAACCCGAAATATTTTCAATTTGCTTATTCGAAATCAACAGCACAAAGGCAAGTTTCTGGTAAGGTTCTTATATAAGAATCGATCTTTACTTGAATAATATGAAAGAAATTTAAAACATAAACGCATCAAAAAAGGAAATACTTTTTTTCGGTAGGTGGCGCCCAAATAACGGTTATCGAGATTGTTAGCAGTATATCTCAGCAAAAATCACTGAAAACAACTTAAATTTTGTATGTATGCAGGAAGATTACCAAGTAGCAGAATAAAAAAATTATTCGGATCGATGCAGTGGAAACTATAATTTCAGAACTTCAATCAAGAAAACTAAGCCAGTTAGATGAAAGTTGAAAAAAATGTAAACTTTCAAAAGTCGAAAATTATTTCTTGTGTTAATGTTTTGAAAGTAAGAAAAACTGAATTAGCCATTTTGTAGCCCTGACTTCGCTGTATCTTTTAGCTACGCTTCAGATTTTTTCACATCAAAAGCCACAGCGAAATAATAGTTTTTCTATCGGTTGTCATGCATTTTTTAGACCACGAGAAAGAGCACATTTGAAAGTACTAAACATAAGCTGTGTTCTCCCTTTTGCTACACTTTTTAGGGAAAATGGTAGCAGTACAAAAAGTTCAAGTCGAAATAATTTTTGAGTTTTAAAGTTTACATTTTTTTCGACTTTCATCTAATTGGCTTAGTTTTCTTGACTGAAGTTCTGAAATTATAGTTTAGGTGTGATTTTGTAGAGTATTGAATGGTGAATCTTTTAAAAAACAAATTTGGCCGATAGCGTCACAACTGACTGACTTATAGCGAAAATAAAGTAGTGTAATTCTTTATGGTCCACCCGTTACTATCAAAACTGGGGTTATGAAAAATCTCTCTGACTTATTCTGATTGAGTTATAGAAGCCTCAAAACACAAATAACTGTGACAACCGACAACTCGAACCGTCCTTGTTGTGGATAGAATTTGAAGAATCACGTCGCACCGTTGCGATTTGGTTGGAGAATTTGCTAAAAACTGCTCTTTTTAAAAAAGTCGCAAAAAACGACATGCCGTCGCACGTGGACATTAAAGGGAAAAGTGGAAGTACGCCTTTTTCAAGATTTTAATAGCAGATCATGTACTTCAAGAAACGCTCTGTTTAATTGGCATAGGAAGTTTTATCTAAGTATCATAATTAGTGAGAAAATCAAGAAGTAAAGCGTTGTTCGAAAATACAGCTATGAAGATTAAAAAATTGTTTTACGCAAAGAAGACTGTTTAAGAACAGTTTATTTTCAATTCACAAAAACTGAAAAGGTTAAGAATCGAAAAGTAGGGGTCGAAGCTTTGATTATAACTTTTCAAGGATACGCTCCACGCTCACCCCTGGGGGAAGCGTACGCTATAGAGTTTGAGGAGATCTTAAAATGTAGAGAACAAATATTTTTTTAATTTAACACGTCTCTCAGCTTTCTATAATGTTTTGTTGAGGAGATATGGTGACATGCGTGGAATAACGAAGCATGCTTAGGCTTTTTTCACCCATGTATAAGACATGACAATATCGCTTCTCTACCAGCATCATCTTGTTCTCCTCCTTCATTCTTCAATGCAAATGTCACTTCTGTTCCTTCTTCTTCTGGTATTGTTACATATTCTACATCTGAACGTGAAGCGGCATTGAAATAATGACCCGTCTTCACGTCTTTCAGTAATAAATCCGATGCACGTATCACCTGACATTCGATTCGTACTTCATTCGTAGAATAATGAGCACTGCGTACGACAACGACAGTCTGTCCTTCTTCTAAAGTATTCACCTTTCGTACAGCATTCTGTCTACTAACATCCTGTCCCTCGACAGGTAAACTACCCAAAATAATTTTAGAATAAACTTCTTGTGGAAAGTACACTTCAAATGTCTAAAAATGCGAAAGAAGAAAAATCACTTTACGACCTAAAAAATTAAGTATTGAATATATGATAAAATTCCGGACCTCTTGTGCTTCGAACTGTTCACGTATTTCCGTAAATGATGGATATATATGAGTGAATCGCAACTTCTTTGTGCAATTGATGTTTTATGCATGATACAAAGATTCCCTTTCTTCGAAACGTCGGTTGTTATAAATCTGTCGATAGATCATATTATCAAAATTAAAACAGGTTAGTTGGCAGGTGTGTGTGAACAGAGCTTTTCCACCTTGTTAACTAAATTCAATATATTTGGCTGAATGTGGATGATGTACGGCTTGAATGATGCTATATTCTCCATCATCCGTGGTTGGTGTATAATAAATGCTTGGACTAGCCGTTTCCTAAAATCGTTCCAAACAATTTCTTGATGCAGTATGATCTACTGATTCAACGTCTTGATCTACTGATTTCAGCATTCTTGATGCACTTCAACAAATTTCTTGAAAACAAGTTCTTGAAAATCGATCAAAATCGAAATATCAGCTGTTTGATCGATTTTCAAGAACTTGTTTTCAAGAAATTTGTTGAAGTGCATCAAGAAATTGTTTGCAACGATTTTGGGAAACGGCTAGTCCAAGTATTTATTATACACCAACCACGAATGATGGAGAATATAGCATCATTCAAGCCGTACATCATCCACATTCAGCCAAATATATTGAATTTAGTTAACAAGATGGAAAAGCTCTGTTCACACACACCTGCCAACTAACCTGTTTTAATTTTGATAATATGATCTATCGACAGATTTATAACAACGGACATTTCGAAGAAAGGGAATCTTTGTATCATGCAGATATTTCATTTATGGGATTCAATTCGGTATGTGGGTATGATCATATTTATGGGGTTTATATTGATAATCCTTCAGTAGTTTGTATTGATCTTGTCTATTCAAATTCTACTCTTTATATGTTTGGAACTCTATATTACTGTCGGTTCTTCTGTTAAAGAGATAACTTCATCATATACAAGGCTCATTGGAACACCTAGAATTAAGCCAAGCTATATACTTGGATATCATCAAGGTTGTTATGGTTATGGAAACTGGTCTGATTTGGAAAATATCGCGAATGTAAAATTCCTTTGGACAGCCTTCATGTGGATGTCGATATCCAATGTAATTACCAAACTTTTATTATCGATGAAAATAAATTTCCAAATTCCAAGGAAATGTTTCAGAATCTTCATAATCTTAGGGTAAAATGTAGTACCAATATTACACCAATTATCAGTAATCGTGATAAAAATTATAAACCTTTTCGTGAAGCTATTGAAAATAATTATTTTATAAAAGATATTCGGTTGGTTAGCGGAGATGATCCAGACCATATTCCATTCATAGTTCCTATATTTGTCCGTTCAGGAGCTATCATTCCTACAATTGAATTAGAACAATATGTTGGGGAGCGTAATTCAAAGAAATAACCAAATCCTGTTACATTCCGTAACATGTTTATTCTGGTGAGGGTGGAATTTATACAACATTTTTAGATGATGGTGTTAGTTCCAAGTCAGATCCTATAAATCCTTATCGAGATAGAAAACAAGATGAAAAGTGTGATGAAGCAGATACTGCCAACGATGAATTACGTGCAATAGAAATTAGCCACTCTTTTACAAGTCAAGGTAGAACTATTGATTTTAAAAGAAAACACAATAAATACAGTCTAGAGTTTGAAAAGTATTTTTTTCTTGCAATATTTCATGATCCAAGTGAAACAAATGGAAAATCTGGTCCACTCAAAAATGTTCAAATACAACATAGAAAAGAAGTGACCAAGGACGTTGAATCCAAATCTATTCCAGTTGGTAGCGAAAGACAAGCCGAGTTAGTAAATGAATCGACTACGAATGCATAGTATTACAATAAAGACATTAATATTACTTTTATAAAAGTCTTCGATGAACTTGAAATAAATTTCATTCGAATTTTGACATTTTACAAAAAATGAAGTAGCTGTGCAATAATGATACGTTATGTAAAAGCTCATTACTTTATTGGACAGAATAATTTTTTTGGCATTCCTTTTTAACTGATAATTCTTTATATATACGTAAGACATTTGCAAGTTTTTTGTACTGCCAAGTAAACTTTCTAGAAAAAATTTGCTTAACATTAGATGCTTTTGAATATCATAGTTTAAAGTACTATTGTTACAGTGCGTAATGGTAATAGCATTTAGATTATCATTCCTCAATTAACGTAGAAAACAATTTTCTTATCACTCTAATTTTTTTTTCTGTTTTTGATTTATTTCTGTAAATCTGACAAAACCCTCCAATTTAAACAGTAAAGCCTGTTTACTGTATAGTTCAATAGAATGGATCAGTCGTGCACTCTGAGAAATTTTCGAAAAATGGCTGAATATTTCCGGAAAACTAGGAAAGAATAGCGACACATCGATCAACGTTATCACATAAACATACAAAATATTGTAGTTTATCCGACTAAACACCATGTAGCTCTTATAGAATAAACATATTCTATTTAGATAGAATAACTGAGATACTATCAACCAATCTAAATCTTGAAATACCTAATAATTAGCTGATGAATCTCTCAGTGCATAGCTAACTATTAACGCTATCTGAAACAGACTTTCTCTAGATATCTTTTTAAAATATTTGACCGAGTAGAATCAGCTTCCGATACCTATCAGGATTGTCCTCACCGACAAGATGAATTTACCCAGTTTTATGACCAGAGCAGGTACATGACAAGGAGGAGATACATTCTTTAAATTATGATATTCGTAATACAGGCATTATTTCATACTATTTATATAATTTTCAGCTTTCTCAAACGCAAAAACGATTCCGTTAAAGTTTTCACCTGAAGTATTCCAGGTGAATTTCTACGGAATCGTTTTTGCGTTTGAGAAAGCTGAAAATGATATGAATAATGTAAAACAACATGTAGATCACGAATATTATAATTTAAAGCTTTCATTTCCTCCTTGTCACACAGCTGTACTGGTCGTATGTATCAAATCTATCAAGATATAAGCTTATTTTTATATATTTTCATATTTTCGACAGAAAACGGATACTGAAAGTTATTCCAATGTGGAGGCATGTTTGCCTATTTCTAATGGGACCAGCTTCATTCTCATCGGCTCAAATCGGGAAAAAATTAGAAGTGATATGTGGTTAAACGTGGCCAAAGTCAAAAAAACTCACACTTGATATAAAAGTTAGCCATATGACCAGAGCAGTATATGACAAGAAGGAAATGCAATCTTTAAATTATGATATTTGTAATCTGCCGTTATTGCTGATCTATTTAGAGTATAGAATTTATTCGAATACGACATTTTTCTAACGAGTTTTTGGGTCCCTTAGTGGGCTAAAGAACACTCAACACGAGCATTCGAGTATGCGCTTTACAAAATAGCCCTTCAATGTCTTTAAAAAAATCCGGCAATTTTCTTATGTTTTGAATGTTGCTTCGGATGAATAATTCGACTCTGGTGTTAAAGTTTGTATGAAATAATATGAGACGGTATAAATATAACGACATCAGCATGCGCTTAAGGAGAATGATGATGCGCTTAGGTAGCTATCAATTTTTTAGAAAGACTTCCTGTAGATTTAACAACTAGATAGTTCTAACCTTTCGGACGGGCCGAAACTGCGCTAGTACTGAATCAGGTCCCGATGGATCAAAAATATTCAGCTTATGTGCGATACTGAGAACTATCTAGTTATTTAATCTACGGAAAGTCTTTTTAAAAAAAGATTTACGTTCCTTCTCCTTAAACGCATGCTGATGTCGTCTTTTTTTACGATAGAATTGCTTTTTTGAATTTCCATAATGTTTTGTAACTCTGCACATTTTCTCTCGTATTCAGAATGAAAGTCTGAATAAGAAATTTATGCTGTTCGCTTATAGTATAGGCTTAAAAATTATCGATTTCCTCGTGGATCCGAACCGGCCTATGTTTCAATTGTAAACCTATCTAGGTTTTTTGATTAATAGATGAAACTACATTTCACAGGTCGTTCAAATTGTTATATCAGGAGGAAAAAAGTACGTATAGATTCGTCGAAAAATTTGAGATAATTTTGTTGAAACAGCTAGCAAAAAATAAGGAAAGTCGCTTGTATTTTGCAGTTTTCATCGTCAAATCTCCATTTTTGCAGAACCAACGTCATAGAATCAGCATCAAAAACTGAATTGATTCATGCGTATTTCAGGATTTTTGGACAACTCTAATTTTTCCAAAAAATTTCGGTTGAAAAGTTCGAAAATTCGAATACGAAAAAGAGTTTTCGAAAGAGTTTAGAAGCAACTGGGGCACAGTGTGCACCCAGGCCGGCTTTTGATGAAAAAATGAAAGTTAATTTTTCAGTAATTTTAAAGATGATTTATATACTTTGAAACATGCTCTATTTAATAGCAAAAATTTTTATGTCCTAGAACGTATTTAAGCTGGGAAAATCCTATACACAAACACACACTAAAAAACCCGTGTCCATCGGGAAATCGGATTATACGCAAAAATTTTACAAAATCAAACATAGCTATTGGGCAAACGAACATATATTCGGAATCAGCATCAAGTGCGCTATCGGTTGGTAAAAAACTTCTCTATTTTTGGGCTTTCTGAGTTGGAGAAAAAAAATAAAACAGTTTTCTAGCGCATTTTCCCAGGAGGTGTGTTTGATGCAATGCGTGCGTGAACTTTAGCGAAGTTTCAATTTTGATGAAATTTTCAGGGAATGCTGTCTTATAAATGACATGTCAACACAGTCAGCACCAATTAGCGCCGACGCTTCTGGACCGAATGATGAATTTTCCAAAAACGTCCTAAACGCCTTAATTTTCAAGCTCGATGCCTCTTTTTCAGACACCAAAGCATTTCCATTGAAAACTAATGGTATATTCGGAATCAGCGTGTGAAACTACATCGGATGATGTATGACACAATATATTCTCTAACAAAAACATTTTCTCAAAAAAATGTAGGTGAGGTGTTTTTTGTCGAAAAAAATTTTTTTTCAAAACGCGCTTTTTTTCTTAAAGGTGGTTTCTGAAGTGATATACGGCTACTTTTGAGTAAAAGAAATCCGTTTTTGAGCACGAAAGTTACATGACCGCCTGCTATGCAAAAAATGCACACTGTGTGGGGTTTTCTAACATACGCTTTTTCTTAGAGTGTACCGCTTTTCAAAAATTCAGATTCTTCAGAATCGAGAAGTAGTATACTCAATGTTTTATTAAGACCTTCGGAAAGAGGCATTTTCTAGCGTGTAGATACGTCTCAAAATATTCATAAGACGTTTCTCTTCTATTTAAGACGTCTCGCAATTCTCTGCGTGATTGGCTTTTGGTTTATATCGACCAGTGACAATCGCAGCGGAAAATTTTCCGCTTCTCTTGTCAGAAAATTATTCTCCAAAAAATTTTTGACAGCGCGCCTTCCACTTCAAAAGAAAGCTTTTCAACTTAACCTAGAAGACTGTATGTACAGTCAAAAAAATATACCGCCCTACCCGGCAGAACAGGACAGTCCAGTCCTGCGACGAGGAGTGGCCTAGTTCTCCATAATTTTTCCCTGCAAGTTTAAGGCATCAGAAATAATGAAAAATGGTATAATTTCGGGAAAAAACGCTTAAAAATCGAATAAAAAACAAGCAGAAGCACATTTCGTGGGTTTTCCTGGTACCTCTAACTTTGCAAGGAAAAATTGTGGGGAGCTGAGCAGCTTCTCATTTTGTTCAGAATTTGATTCGCTTTTAGATGGCTATACTGAAAAAAGTTTTAGTAAAATCTTCTAGAGACCTCCAAGGGCACAGTGGGTATTTCTCCGTAGAGCAGGCGGACATCTGACTTTTTGAGTTAAAAAATGATTATTTTCGCATAATAGAGTCTTATTATGCGTCAGATACTAATACAAGTAAAAAAAGTCGAATTCAAAAAAAATCTTTATCCAATAAACAATGCCTTTGGGGGACCCTTGCTCTGTATTATCGTCAAAAAATGTTTTATTTGTAAAACTACCAAATTATACATCATTCGGTGCAGTATTTCACGCTGATTCCGAATATGTATATATTGTTCAGATAAACGTTTTTGCAAGACGAAAAATTTCTATAAAACGTAAAATCCAAGGTTTTTTGGAAAACCTGTAGATCCTCAAGGAATGGGATGGAAAATTTTGAGAGATCACTATTGACTCAGCATATCTTAAGCAACATTTTTATAATAGAATAATATCAATTTGGTGCGCGTCGGTGCTGTCATTTTACTGAAGAGGGCGTATTTTCATTAGAGTTATTTTAATTTAAGTTTTTTTCTCCCGCTAACTATAATTATTTTTAAACTTTTTTCAAATATTTCAGTAGCTCATCTCAAGTGCTTTCAGAATCTGGAGTCATTTTCCTCGACTTCAAATTTCAGAAATATAGTGCCGCTGTAATTTTTTTCAGTACTGTATCAATAATCAGAAAGATGTATTAGAACTATTAGAAAAAAATCAAATGTCAAGAAAACAAATAGCCCAAGGAGACATCGTCAAGTAAAAAAAATACCGTCCGCTTAGAGTATAGCATGCCGGTATCATGCTCTTGGAGTACTAGTCCGAATACCATTTTAGCAAGAGTGGACGCGTAATGGACTCTATTTCTAGACTACTATAATGACATCAATGACATCAATATAAACATCAATCTCAGTTACCAAAGACTTTTCAAGGTACAACACCTAATAAGCTAAGCTTTTACAAGTCTTCTTCTGCAAAAAGATGCAACGAGACCTTAGCTACCAAATGCTGAAAACCGCAGTTCTGTTTCCATTCTTGAGTTATTCCAAAAGTGGGTACCCGGACGGTAATTTGAAAAGGGTAGTAGACTAATC